GGTATGGTTGAATATTCCATATGCAACTGATTTCATTGTTATACAGAACCCAGAATTTTATGCCATGTTTTGCTAGAATAGACAATTTCCTCTGAATGAAACCAATTGTTCCCCAACTTTTATATATGCACGAGGGTAAAAAAAAAGTTTGCCAATATCTCCACATATCCCATAAATCACAAATATGGCAAATGCATCACCTTGCATCCTAGAGTAGGGGTCGGCAACCTGCGGCTCTTTAGTTCCATACTTAAATATTATTTTATATATATATATATATAAAAAGAAGAAGAAGAAGAAGAAGAACTGAAGAGCATCGAGAATTCAATCGGAATTGGATGCAGTCGTTTGCTTTCATATGCAATTTCACATTCTTTGCGACTTTTCTCGTTGGCCTCGAAAAACTCACACACAATAAGAAATCAAACTTAGAGAGACACTTCACGAAAAAACACTCAGTTTGCTAGTAAATATCCAGCCGGCGATTAACGAAAAAAAGCTGTCAACGAGATTCAAAAACAAAAACAGCAATCAAGTTCCATGTTAAGGTAACTGGACACAATCTACAAGTCATGTTAATCTGGCAAGCTTCGCGGTATCATAACAAATTGCAAAAAAAAAAGCAAACCATTCACAGATGGTGATTATGTCAAAGATTGCTTCATACGTGCATCTGAAGAACTATTTTGTGATAAAAAAAAACAGAAATCTTGAAAAAAATCAAAGATTTTCCACTATCCACTAAAATTGTACAAGATAGAAAAGCTAAAGTGTCTTAAAATGTAACATATTTGCAGGTGAAAGATATTCAGCTTTCTTCTGCTTTATCACTTGCTATATACGAGTCTTGCGACATAAAAAACACGGCACAAGTTCCCTTTTTGTCAGGTATGTGTCTTCCCAAGAGATCCAAAAGAAGAACTTATAGAATTGATACCGCTCTAGGGACAAAATAGAGAGGAAGGTATAGCAAATGCTATGCAAAAATGCCTTGAAGACAATAAGATCGATCTAAATAAAATCGTTTCAATAGCAAGTGATGGAGCCAGAAATATGACAGGAAAAAATAAAGGGACAACAACGATTTTTCAGAGCAAAATAAACCACGGAATTTTTACGTTACACCAAGAAGCGCTTTGTGCCCAAACATTTTTGGCCAAAATAGTTGAGGTTATGAATTTGGTAATCAAGATTGTTATCAGCATCTTGTCAAAAGCACTGTACCATCGTCAGTTTAAAGAATTCTTAAATGAAATGGAGACTCAGTATTTCGACCTCCTTCTTCACAATAATGTGCGATGGCTTTCCAAGGGTAAAAGCTGTTGAAACGTTTTGCTTTGTGCTTGAATGAAATAAATACATTTCCTAAATGAAAAAGGCATTAATCCCCCTGAATTACAGAACGACAATGGTTGCAAAATTTTACTTTATGATGGTTTTACAGTGAAATTAAATGAGCTGAATCTAAAACTGCAAGGAAAGGGAAACCCAGCCTATGTTTTAGAAGACGAAGTGGTTTGTTTTGAAGAAAAATTAATTCTTTTTGCAGAAGATATTCAGAGCAGTAAATTACTTCATTTTCAATTTTTAAAGCAATATCGCGATAAAACCATTGCAACTGTTGACACGAATTACTTCAGCACAGTTACTAAAAAATTAAAGATGAATTTGCTGACAGATTTGAATAATTCAAAACCAATAAAACCACTCTAGCATTCATAGTAAACCCTCTCAACACAAAAAAATAGTAACGAAATGCACACTGAGCCATTTGGAATTGATACCGAATCTCTAGAAATGCAATTGATCGATTTAAAAAGTAAAGCTTTGTGGAATGGAACATTTAGAGAGTTGAAAAGCAAGTTGGAAGAGATGGAGGTCCAGAAATGAATGTACGTAATGCAACAAATGTGGACAGCTTTAAAAGAAATGCCGCAAGTTGAGGCACTTATATTCGATGCATGGAATAGTGTTCCAGATTGCTACAGCGAGGTGAAGAAGTTGGCATTTGGAGTGCTGACTATCTTCGGATCGACATATTTGTGCGAGCAAGCGTTCTCTTGCACGAATATAATTAAAAGTACAGTAAGAAGCCAACTAACAAATAAAAATTTAGAGTCGTGTTTGAAACTTAAAACAACCAGTTATGAGCCAAATTTACCCAAACTTTCTTCTAAAACCATGTGAAAGTCAACGCTCCCATTGAATTTGTTTGCTCAATTGTTTTTTATTGAAGTACAAGTTAGTGTTGTAAGGATACGTTTAATTGTTTTAATTTTTACTTAAATAAACAATTATCTAATAATGCTATACATATATTATTTAATTTGTTGTGAAAAACACTATTTATATACGAGGGTTGGAACTTTAATAGTGGCAACTATTTATTTACAAGGAATACAAAAGTGATTTATGTCACCATGTTTTACAGTCCTTCAATATAGTCGCCAGCATTGTGTACAATCAGTTTCCAACGATGTGGAAGTCGCAGAATACCTGTAGCAGCGCCTGTTTTGCTGATAGTTTGAATGGACCAATCTACTGCCGCAAGAATCTCAGGAACAGTTTGGAAGCGAAAGCCACGAAGTGGTTCTTTCATCTTAGGAATTAAGTCATAGTCACAAGGGTTTAGATCTGGGAAGTATGGTGGATGGTAAAGCACTTCCCAGCCCCATCGCTTGAACAAATCAGTCACAGCTTGCGCTGCATGCGGCCGAGCATTGTCATGCAAAATGGGAAGAGCGTTCTGCAGAAAGTGTCGTCGTTTTTTTCTCAAAGCTGGTCGGAGATTGTGCTCCAAAAAAGAGCAGTAATACTGCGCAGTGACGGTCTGCTGTGGGGGAACGGTATGCGTTATAATGACACCATCACAGTCATACACGAGAATCACCATAACTTTCACATTGCTGGAGTTCTGACGAAATTTCGAATGGCATGGTGACCCGTGATGATGCCATTCGTTTGATTGGCGTTTCAGTTCTGGCTGGTACGATCGGCCCAAGTCTCATCCAGCGTAATGATATGGCGTTAAAAAAAAAAAGCATCTCTTTCACGCTCATAGCGCTTCAGGTGGGTTCGAGCAACATCGTATCATAGCCATTTCTGCATTTCCGTCAATTGATGTGGAACCCATCGTGAAGCAATTTTTCTCATGGACAGGCGTTCCTTCAGAATGTGCAGCATAGTCGTATGCGCTAATCTTGTTTGCTCGGCCACTGACGAATCGTTTGGTGGCGATCACTGACCATTAGTGCGGCAACAGCTTGCACGTCTGCATCGCGGACACTCGGACGACCTGGCCGCAGCATGTCTGCCACGTTTTGGCGTCCTTCATTGAATGCTTTCACCCATCTTGCTACGATTCTGCAAAGCAATGCAGATTCCCCGCAAGCCTCTTGAAGCCCTTGATGACAGTGTCGTGCTGTACGACCTCTGGCACATTCAATTTTTAGCCAACATCGTTGTTCTTGTTTTGAAAACATCCCGACAACACTTACTTTAGACTGCCCGCTAATACAAGGATCCGTTCTTCGCGTCACTCTGCATGCGCGTGACGTAGGCAGGACGAGTCTTTTTGCGGAGAGGTAAGGTAGGTATGTAGTTCACGTGTGGTATACGCGATATTCTTTGGTTTTTTTGTGTAGCGTTTTTTCAGCTATGTTGCCACTATTAAAGTTCCAACTCTTGTATGAATAAATAGATATTTTTTCTTATGAATAAATAGATTAGTTTTTGTTTATCAAAAAACTTTATTTATGCGAGCACTATTTATTGTTGGCAAGAAAAAATTTGGTGGCTCTTTAAAAACTTTGAAATTTTGTAAAATGTAATTTTTGACTCTTTCGACTGAAAAGGTTGCCGACCCCTGTCCTAGAGGAATGTAATCCATTACAGGATCCTTTCTCGTGAAATATGAAAATCTTAGCAAATTCATAGTTGCCCTGAAAATAGCCCTTTTTTTTCTCTACATTCCACACACTTCTGTATATTCAATGCAGGATCAGAACACACCAGCAAGTAATCTACATAGGCACCGATTTCAACACTGTCAAATTTTTTTCCCACTTATCCCAAATACAAATGCTCTTTCTACATTCGAGTTCATGATGACAATTTTCTCAATGCTTTGTAATAAACAACAGAAAAGCAGACAGTTTGTCATAAATTCTTGAAGTAGTGTACCTAGTAAGTCCTGGTGTAACGTTTAAAATATTTTACGAGACATGTTCACCTGCTTACAAGGAAAGGACTTCTATACTGAATTGATTCATCTTTTGATAAATAAATGCAGTCCATAAATTCGATTTCACGGTATTATGAGGATAACTCAGAAGCTTCAGAAATGTGATCTAATTCTCATACAATTTCTCTGTCATCTGAAGCAGCCAATAAGATATCATGAATTTCTTCTTTTGATAAAGTCATCACTGAACTTATAAAAAAAAAGCACTGGAATACATATGAGAGTTACCAATCCCACAACATTTTCAGCCAGATTTCAAAATTGCGACAATTTTTAAAGGAGAAAGGAAAATCCTCCCATCCCCCCCCCAAATTACTTATTTACTTTAGTTTTCATGTTCATGCATTTCCAGATAGTCTACAGTGAAAGGAATGAGGAAATTCCTTGAAAGAAACTTCTGAAACTTCCTATCAATTCCAAACACTTCCAAAGCTAAAACTAAAAAATGCTATTCATGCAATAAAATGCAATCATAAATATATAAATAATAAATAATCATAAATATAGACCCAAACACAGCAGCAAGATTAAATAACTGCAAAATCTAAATTCTTTACACATCTGAAGACATTTAAATAAATAGATGATTAAAAGGATTTGAAACCATTTCTCTTTTGATCTTACTAAAAATCTGATATAATTTACACTTCAAGAACAAAATATTTATATAAAGTTAAAACTCACTACTTATATAAACTATATATTAAGTTATTAGTTATTATAAGTTATTAGTTAAACTTATATAAACTTTACTCACTTTTTTACTTCTTGAACATAATCAACACCATGTTCAATCAAGTGACTAAAATGATCCTCGATAGCCTCGTGTTTATGTTTGGATGCAGTGCCAATCAGGGTTACATTTGGAATGGTTTTCATTAGCTGAGCAACAGCTAAACCCTGTACAAAGAGAAGTTTTTAATTTAAGTATACAAAGAAACAGCACAAATACATATTCTGGAATAAAATTTAACTGTTCCCATTGATACTACTATGAAATATGTATAATTGATGACACGGATAATGCATATTTGTAAAACACCCAATGGAAAAGAAACAGTAATTTTCATCAAATAAATATTTTCATTTAATTTTGAAGGGGGAAAAGTTACTGCATTAAATTTTACAGGGTTTTATTTTAAATTGTTTAGATTTGACACTGCTGAGTCTTTAGTATTTCTCATTTTTCCAACATTATTTATTCCATAAATAACAAGCATGCAAATTTATTCAATCTACAAGAAGAGTTTCAATGTATTCCAGGTATAGCATATAAGCTTATCATAATTAACAGCACCAATCTTTTATATATGGGCTCTGTAACTTGATTGCAATCAAGTATGCAAGGACTATATTATTCATTGGCGGGCTGGTAAATAATTACTGAAAGTTTGTAAACAATGCAAATAGAACAAGAATTTAAACTGCATCAGGAGCTGGATTAGGCTGTTCTGCCTATAATGGAAAATGCCTTTACATGTGATACATTTAAGATACAACGAGGAAACTTCTGGAAACCTCATATAATAAGTTTGTTAAACATCAGACCTGGAGCCTAGAATGAATCGCACATGTCTTATGACTAACCATTCACTTACTGGTTAGCCATTCTGGAACACAACCGTCACTGTCTAACAAGCAGCTAACTGCAAGATTTGATTAATGTGATTACGGCCAAGTTTCGAGGGCTATCTGCGTAATGGAAGAAATTACTTTGTGAAGGACGTCTAAGGGAAACTGGCTCGTATACATGTAACAGATGGAGAAAAGCATGAAAATGCTCCTACAGCCAGCCCCTTCACGGGATTCGAACTACTAGTGTTCAGCGATTTTACCATTCGGCTGCTGGTGGGACCTGCTCATTGCAAGGACTGAACATTACGAAGTACAGTTTTCTTTACACACGAGATTTCTAAATACAATTTTATCTATACAGTCTAGGAAACTAAAACATTGTCAAATTATACAGTCTTTTAATGATATACAACCTAGAAATATAATCCTTCTTGGTACCATGGCATTTTATTAAATAGTCACAGATTTTTTTTTTTTTTTTTTTTTATGTAGATCAGAAATGATTAAAAGAAGTTACCCAAGATCTAGCTTTATAAACTTTATTTCAAATATCCTCATACAAATATTTCTGTAAAAAGGTACTTAATGATGAAACAGACATGAATGCAATTTACAGCTTTGCAATGATTAATTTTTAAAACAGATAAAATGCTAAATTTGTTGCTTGCTTCATAACAGCTGCTTTGGAGTGATCAATAAAGTGCCAGGATTGAGAGGAAAAGGTTCCTTGATAGCAGCAGATATCCAGACTCGCATTCATTTTGCAGGCTCTACTGCCAAACATTGCTATTTAATTATCCAATTAAAACTAAAATACGATACGAACTTGTCCACTATGCCAATCACAGAGGACATCATAAAATCATCTAGATCACAAGCGGCAATGACAACAGCGACAACCTACACTACACTGGTGACGTGTCAAAGTAGCATCAGTCACATGATCGCACAGCTATGCCCAATTAACCAATGACACTACAGTAGCTAAGGCTCAGGCCTTGCCTCCAAACCTAACAGCAAGAACACATGGCAACAGATCGGGAGTCTTTCAAACCACACCTATAGGCTCAAAACAAGTTTGCTCACGACACAATGCAAGCTGTATATCAAACATATTGAACCTATCTCAGGTACTGCAAGCGCCAACCAAAGACCCATCTATTTCTTGCTCACTTGATGACAGCTGTTTTGGAATGATCGATAAAGTGCCAGGCTTAAGATCAAATAGTTCTTGGTTTTGCCCCTCCCAGCAACAGAAATCCATATGAACATGCATTTTACAGGCATCCTCTATAGGCAAACATTGGTGTTAAAATATCCAACTAAAACAAAAAAGAAAGCTATTGGTTCACTATGTCAATAATAGACAGATCCGCCACAAGACAGACTATGTCAAAGAACAACAAGCAAACTGCCACAAATTCACTGGCAACTACTGCATAACATAAAAGTAATGCCTATTACAGTATATATTTAATTCTAATTTTCACAGAACTGATTTCATGCAAGTGGAAAAAGTAACTGAAAATTCCTACTTTCATTTGCATGAGGATAGTAATATTCTTCAATAAAGCTGTACTCAAAAACTTACATGTGATTGCATTAGAAAAAAAATAATGCTTGTTAACCAGAACGCAGGACATTTACGCCATTACTTTCAGGCTGTAACTAGTAAGACAGTTACTAATAAGCACTTCACTTATGTGTTCATTTAGAAATTAAGTTCTGCATCACTGATAATAGAAACAGTAATAAGGAATATGTAATAAAAGTAAAGTTTTTAAATAAAAATAATTTTTTTAAATTGCAAGCCATGTTCTTAGGTCAATTTTTTCATAAAAAACGACAGATTACAGCTTTTATTAGAAACTGTTGTGACAAGCTTTACTGACATAACACAAAATAGATACCTAGTTCTTACACTTCATCATTTAATGAAAATCATTAAAAAGAAGCTATAGCAAAAGAAAAAAAGGTCGCAGATCCATACCGTATGTTACATATACATGTACATAATCAAGACATTTTAGTCTAATATCAAGCTGATACATCAAATAATAATTATGGAAATTTCATTCAGTGACTTAGGGAAAACTTATTTTCAATTAAAATTAAGTTAACTCATTTCTTGACTTGCTATGCATCAGATTCAATTTTCAAAATATTCTTCTAAGATCAGCAGTTATATCTGTAATTAAAGTTCCAATAATACAGGGTGTCCGAAAAGTCTTTCCCTGATTACATAAATTGATAACTCAGGCCAGAAGTAAGATACAAATATGAAACTTGTGTCGAATTGCTTACAAACTATCAAAGTTTTTTTTTCTGTTTTAGGTTCGCAGTACGTAAGTAGTGGATGAGGTGCAGTGGCCAAGAAGCCATGTTAACCAATCAGGAGAAGGCACGGTGTGTCCTGTGGTACCATGAGACACAATCATCAACCACAGTGCAGAGACACTTCCAGACAACATTTGGAAGGAATACCACCTGATGTCAAGAGCATTAAAGCCTGGTATGAGGAAGTTCAAGAACACAGGCTCAGTTGCCGACCTTCAGAGGTCTGGTCGACCAAGAACCTCAGCAGACAGGGTGGAAGCTGTGAGGCAGTCTTTTCTGCGAAGTCCAAAGAAATTGGTGCACAAGGCCTCACGTGAATTACAGATATCAAAAAGCTCTCGCCATGACATTTTACATAAACGTTTATTGTTTCGTGCATACAACGTGCAAATCATTCAAGCCTTATTGCCCAGTGACAGTACACGTCGATATGACTTTGCTGTCGAAATGCTATCACGTATTGAGGACGATGGTTATTTCAGGCGAATTGCCTTTTCCGACGAAGCGACCTTTTTCGTCAGTGGAGTAGTGAATCACCATAATGTGCGCATTTCGGGTTCACAACCCCCTGGCAAGGTCATGGAGTGCACCAGAGGCAGTCCAAAGGTGAATGTTTGGTGCGCGCTATTGCATGACCGAATTATCGGGCCATTCTTCTTCGCTGAGGCTACCATCACATCAGCAGTGTATCTGGACATGTTACAACTGTATGCTGTTCCTGAGCTGCTTCAGTATCACCCCGATGTCTTGTTTCAGCAAGACGGTGCACCTCCTCATTGGGGTTTGGACGTCCATGCCTATCTCGATATGACCTTTCCTGGGCGATGGATTGGTCGTGATGGGCCAACGGTTTGGCCTCCACGCTCTCCTGACATAACCCCATTAAACTTCTTTTTATGGGGTTATGTCAAGGACGAGGTCTACCGAACACGTGTACCAGATCTTGAAACCCTGTGGCAACGGATAACCACAGTCGTTGAATCGATCCCTCCAGTGATGTTGGCTAATGTGTGGACGGAAATTTAATATTGCCTAGATGTGGTACGTGCTACCAAGGGTGCTCATGTGGAAGTTTACTGATGTGTGAAAAGAACTTTGACAGTTTGTAAACAATTAGACACCAATTTCATATTTGTATCTTACTTCTAGCCTGAGTTATCAATTTATGTAATCAGGAAAAGACTTTTCAGACACCCTTAACTTAACTATTTTATTTATGTGAATTTCTTTGAAATATGGATTTCGATATGCTCATAATTTTATCAAATAAAACATGCATATGCATTCTGTCTTGCAAGTACTTTTTATAAAATAAAAAGTGTGCACACACAAACACATATATTCTCATTAAGTAACATGCTTAAACTACATCAGCATATTTTTCTTTAAAATATGCTTTGAAGGTTTTTCTCGTTACATCACCTAATAATATGTTTGTTCCCAAAATTCTGATTATAAACACGTAAATTTTTTCCAACTAGACCTTAGAAATTTTTTGGTTTTTAAATGGCTTGGTTTAACATTTTTCACAGTTTTGATTCTAAAATACATTTAAATCTCCATCTGAAATCGAACTTAATGTGTATGATTGTTTCAGAAACAGACATCACAATCAAAATCCTACTCTAAAACAACTAAATTTCATTTCTAGTGATTTATTTTATAGATATATTTTAATTTTCCCTGAAGTTTTAATAAAACCATTAATGCTTGTAAAATTTGCAAACACATTTGATAACACTGTACAATTTTACTTTTCATGGCATTTGACCTATGTTAACTTTTAATAATTTCAATTAGTATAAAATTTCAATGAATTTAATTTTTACATAGTTCAATTTTATACAGATGTTCAAGTTTCTTTCATTAGTTAATTATGAAGGTTTCATTGATTGCAACACTTTTTTTATTTTTGCACTCTTATTTTTTCTCAGAAATTTCATTTTTATGTTTTATGGCTAGTATTAGTTTTTATAGGCTATTTCACAAATTTCCCCCCAAATATTGCATTTATTTTGACTGTTCTAAAAATATAAAACTATGATGATAATAATAAAGTACATTTGATTTGGCCCTAATTTTGTCCAAGCAAACAATAAAAATATGACTAAAAATGGAAGAATTTCTCAAAGCCGAAAATATAAGAAATGATGAGCACCCAGATTTCAACTGATAAATTAAAAACCACAGGCACCAAATATAAGAAACACAGGTATTAGGCAAATGAAGAATCACATCTTTTAACAGCTATTCTCAGTTATTTCCTCAAAACATTAAACCAAATATATAAAATAAAAGACATAAATCCATAAAATAAAAGACAATGATGCAGATTAAGTCTAAATTGAAACAGTACAATGCAGAATGGGGGGGGGGAGAAACTACACTAGTATGCAAAACTTTAACAAATTTTCTGATTTAGGCTGTATTTCTGCAAAACATCAACTGAGGAACATGAAATTTATGCTACAAAGACACAGTGTAAGGATGAGAAAATTATACTAGCAAAAACTTGAATAGGATGCATGTAGTACAGAATGAATGGAAAAGAGCAAGACAAAATAACGATAGTACAAATAACTGTCTGGACAAGAAAAACAACAAACCTGACAGACTTAGTAATAGATATGACCTTCTTTAACTGCAATGGTTGAGCTGCGCCGTCTCTTTATACTCAACACCAGATTATCTAACAATTCTTGCAGTAAGAGTTCCCATTCTTCAAATTCTTCAAACAGCACCTCTCAGCTGTCTGGCATTCTCCGGATGTTACCAGGCATCTCCTTAAAATATCCCACACATGTTCAATGGGATTTAAATCAAGGGTTACAAGCACACTGGTTAATCCATTCTCTTGATAACTTCACTTTCCAGGAGCTCCTCATTAGCATGAGTCCTGCGTGTTCTTACATGGTCATCCATAAAAACAAAGCTGGGGACAATGTCACCCTGGAAAAAATGCATGTGGGGAAGGAGAACTTCACAGTCAGTCTCTTTCCCGACATTAGTAAGATGAAAGTATGTCTTTATCTTTCTCCATATCAAAAGGCATCAAGAATCGTTTGAAACAACTCTGCTCATTAAAGAGTATGTGACTCCACTAACCATGCAGACAGGTTTTCATCTCTTTTTGCCTGCAGGGGGATGTATCAGTCATTAGTCAGCACTATTTTCTTCAATTGACCACCACTAACCTTTCTTACAGCTGTACCTATCCTTTGGATGGTTTTCCAAAACTTGCCAATCATTCTACCACATATAAAAGGCATCCTCAGGTTTCCTTGTACCCATACTGTAAGGAATGCTTGGAAATGCACCTCTCCCCCTTCTATTTAAGTTGCCTTGCACTTTGGATGTTGACTCCTTACATTTTGCATGCCCTGACATACTCTCCAATATCACGGTAATGATATTCACATGGTCACAAAAAATCCTTTTCAACAATTTCATAGTTGCATATTCAAAACTGAGTTTATAGCTTAAGTTTTGCACACTAGTGTTATGCTATTAATCATCCACACATATAAGAATGAAAAATAATTTCTTCAGCTGTAAATTTATTTCAATGCAATATTTTCATTACCTAATTTTTTAATAAAATGTATGAACCATTAATAATAATGTATTATTCTTCAATTTTTAGTATTCTAAGGTTAAATGGCACTTGCAAGAAACAGATACATTTCTCAAACTGCAACTGTGTAAGTCATAAAGCTATTTTGTTTGATAATTATTTCGAATTTTTCATCTCAATCTTGTTTGATATTTATTTGGAGTTTTTCATCTTAATGGTATTATTAAAGATGAAACAACATGAAAGTTATATGAAACAATTATAAACATGAAAATTTTGATACATGAAACAGTTGCCATAATTAAAATTTTTAATATTTTTTGGTACACTTACAACTCCACCTCCAGCTGAATGTATTAAAACAGTCTGTCCCTGACGCACACAAGCAGTATCGAACACCAGGCCATAAGCAACGACAAAGTTCATTAATAGAGCTGCTGCATCTTGAAAGCTCATTTCTTGAGGTAACTTATAGACATATTTAGTAGGAACAGCTGCAAGTTCTGCCCATGCCTTACAGTCTGTTAAAGCAGCAACATGATCTCCAATCTGGAATAATATATACACGTTTTAATACATTAAATGAATGATAAAATATGCTTTTATACATCATATTTACTCAATACTATTCTCCTCAACTTTTTCAGGACATGAATACATTCTTATAAAATAACACATTTAGAAATTTATGATTTACTTTAGTAACATGAGATATGCAAGTATAGTAAAACAAAAAATATAAATAAAAAGTGTAAGAAACTTTTTAAACATAGAATACTGAAATAAATACATATGCCCACTTTAATCTGATCGATTTTTTAACCTCTCTTCCGAAATGATATTAAATGCATAATTTTTCCATTTTGATTTTAGAGATACAATTAATAAAAACACATATAAATGTGATATTTTATATTAAGCAGAACTTTATATATGTGATTTATAACTAAATTTATAGTTTACAGCTTATATTTATATCTTCTAGAAAATAAGTTTTCAATTTTAAAATAAATTTCAGGAAATTTTTAGTTACTTTCACTTAAAACTGCAACAAGCAAATGCCCACCGATTTTTTTTTCTTCCAATTTTCATGCAATTAGTGTTAATTCACAATTAGATATTTCACGATATCTGCTATAACACAAAAGTATCTTTTTGTTTCTTTTTCACATTTCATACTGATAAATATACAGAAAATAATAGATTTTAAAACTGATATACTTTGACAATGCATTTAAATTGTGGAAAAGTTAATATTTTCCGATTATCTACACATCTGTTTTCAGCAACTGGTACAACCAACATGCTTTTAAATATACATACAGCAATAGCCAACCCATATATATGAGTGCTACACACTTGTACAAGTAGATTTGCATACTTTCTATGCAACATTTTAGTTATCGGTGTTCCTGGTCACACAGTTTTTTTTTTTTTTTTAATTTCTCTTAAAATGCTAGTTTAAGATTATTTGCAAACAGAATAATGCCAACAAATCATAAAGAATCACTTTTCACCAATGATTTGGCAATTCTTTTATACAGATTTGAAAATCTAAACACTAAAATTTTAACATATTTTTACAAAACTCTCGATATAAAAGCTTTGTAAAATTAGATTATTTTATGCATTTTATAAAACAGAAAATATTATCTACACATACAAGATGGTTTTTTTTTAATTGGTATGACTTTAAGCCATCTGTAGCCCGATCTACCATCTGGAATGCCACTATATTTGGAAGCAGGACTAATGATGATATGAAAAAAGATTCTGGGAAAAAAATAGTTAAAAAAAGTTGCCAAAAGGTGAAAATGTAACACTGTTGTAGTCTAAATAGTTAAGAATTTGCATAAAACACGGGTAAAATTTAAAAACCCATATCCAGGATTACAGAAAATGATGGCAGTACCAGTAATTCAGTTCATAAAGATAACTTAAAACACTAAAACCATTTTAAATTTTAGCCTGGTACAACATGTGTCTTATTTTATACTAGCGCACATTACTTGTGAAGTTGTTTTACCTTCACCAAATGAATGCAACCACCACTCTTCACGAGTTTAGCAGTCAATTAATGCATTAAAAGACATGATTCAGATGTCTAAAGTAACAGGTTGCTTGCCAGTTTGTCTGGTAAAGGGCAAAAAACTGATGTTGCAATTGTTGATGGCACTGCTGTTAGTAGCAAAGACATGGGAAGTAACACGACAAATGGATTTAAATACTGATGAAGGTACTGAAAATCATACAGAAAGTTCTCCTCTTCTACTCATACAAGATAAGCCATATGCAGTAATTAAAATACATCTGTTGTGATAAGGGGTTGCATTTGCTTTGGTGTTTCTTATCAAGATGGAAGTCAACGACACATGGTCGTGGAAAATTTTGTGAGGAGATGAGACTTATTTTCACCTAAATGGGTTCGCTAACACATAATTTTCAAATATGAGCATCCAAACAACCATTCAAGTTCAAGAAATCCCACTGTATTTATCAACTCATTGTTTAGTACAGCTTCACAGCATATTTCATTTATCGAACCATTATTTTATTTTAGAACATTACTTGAACAGGACTTTTTATCATTATCATGCAAAGGCATAAGAGCACATTGATTAATTTTACCATATCACATCTTCATGAGAGGCTGTTTGATCACATAACTTTTATACAGGATGGAGTACCACCACACATTGCTCTATCAGTAAGACAGCTTTAGCGCCTCCACTTTATGGAAGTGCCATAAGCCGTTTTTTCCACCTGTATGGCTGCCTCACTCCCCAGACCTAACCAAGCGTGACTGTGGATTATTTGAAGTTCAAGGTCCATCCTGGTAGGATTCTAATATTAATGACCTTAAACGAATAATGAATCAAGGGCTATGCTGCAAATTTTATGGAACATATTACGTTTGGCCATCAAGAATGCTGTGTACAGTACACAATGTATGATCCACCACATGGGTAATCACATTGCAAGAGGTTTGTGCCCTTGCAAAGGTAGTGCTATAGTCTTCGAGAAATAAATAATAGTAATAAAGCTCTATAGTCTGCAAACCATTGGGTCAGTTCATTTGCTGCATTAAAGCACGTTCAAATTTCTCTTTTTCAGTTTTCTAAGTCTCATCTGTGTTCGCTAGAACAGTGCCATTATTTTATGCAACTAGCGGGCGACCTTTGAAACTAAATTTTTTTTCATGGAATCTTTTCCCCCAACCATGTTGTTATTAGTTGCTTTACCAAATTTTGCAACATTCCATAACAACTAACAGACAGCTGCAGATGGCTCTAATTAATGTCAGTTTTCCCAAAAAAAAAAAAAAAAAAAAACCTATACATAGGGGAAAAATACTTTTGTTCAAGCTGCATAAATAGTACAATTTACATAGAATTTTAGATTTTTCTGAAGCAACTTTTTATAATAATGAACCTATACAAAACAGATATATTTACACATAATTCAGATTTTAAAGTTATATTGAAAAATTCAAAGAACAAGACTGTACTTGAAAATCGGGCACCCCTTCTCCAACAGCTACAATTTCACCAGCACATTCAAATCCCATAATAACAGGCAGCTTTGGTGGGTTATCAATGGCTCCTTGACGCAACATCACATCCAAGAAATTAAGACCACTGCAGAAGATAACTATATTAATACACGCCATTTTATAAAATAGATTTTATATCTAAAAAACACTATTAGTTTAATATTTCAAAGCACAATCATATGCAAGGTAATCATATTATAAGGTTTGATTTTTAGTAAAAAGAATGGTTTCCATGAATATTTTTTTGATTTACCTAATGTATAATGTAAACAAATAGCCCACATTAACTTTGCATTTAAACTATTTCATCCATAAAAATAAATTGTACTATGGTTGTTATATTCATATCCAAAATGTATTTTACTTAAACAAAAAAAAAAAAAAAAGGTTTTGTCCAATTAATCCCTCCTCCAATGAAAAGTGGCAGAAAAGTATTCATGGGCTAATGTAGTATGTTATCAAAATAATTATGTGACAACCCATGCATGCATGTAATACATGCCTATTACACATGCTAGTATGGATTTGGACTTTTGAAATTCAACCACCATTCTTCGAATTAGGATCTCTTTTTACATTAATGATACTATACTCTTTGCTGGTTTGATAAGAAAGTTTTGCATTTTTGCATAATAGTACTGGAGCAGAGAAATCAAATATTCATATTTCATGAAACTGTACTTTTTACTGAACAGAATTTTATAGAAATGCAATATGAAAAACTGCGCACAAAATATTAGAATGCAGATCAGAAACGGGTTTGAACATAGCCATCTCATTTATTTAATGTTGGCCGATGTGCAATACCTTGGTTGTGCAATTCTACGATTTCCTTTAACAAAAACAAATTGCTGTGAACATAAAAAAAATTACAGAAGAATTTTTCAAAAAAAAAAAAAAAAAAAAAAAAAAAAAAATGAGTGTTTTATTACCAAAGTTTTTTGCTTTTTTAATGTGATTGATTGCTGTTTCATAGAATCCTTAATAAGCAGACATTCTGAAAATGCCTCGCCTTCGTTTCGTAAGCTTGGCAAAAATTAGTTGCCAATGATTTCACAACTTTTCGCTGGTAACGCAAATCATCAGAAATTATCTTAAGAAGTTCTACACAATCTAACTGGAAATACACACATAACTTTTAAAAAAATTTGACGAATAGTATATCACTTAGCTTCATTTCTGATGTTTCTAATGATGGTTTAACTTATACAGAAGACTAATTTTAAACTTTACTGTATAACATATATTGCCAATGTAATTAGGAAAAGATGCTAATTCTATCCCTACATATTAATATTAGTGATATAGACCTCAGCTAAAATATATTCAAAATTAAAAGCATATTTTATATTCCCTTCATTATTAATGAATTTATTATAAAAATAGAAACAGCATGATAAAAAATTATCCAGCAAATTACCCTCAAACTACAATTATGTAATTTCATGGAAATAACAACTGCCACTTCCTTTATAGGGAAATACTAGTTACAAGCCTTATATGCAAACAATAATCCAATGAAATAATATGCAGCTATAGCTTAGATAATAAAGTCTATTTTATACAAAAAATACCCAAATCTTAGTACGGCATTACCAAAAATATCAAAGCAATTTTTTGTTTTTTTTTAAATCCTATTTATTACTATTTTAAATAAGATGCTTTCATAATAGTGCTCCATCCTTACACAAATCACCCAGTGTTTGAAAAGATAGAAATAAAAAAAATCCCTCAGGCAGATAAGACATATGAATTATATTCCTCAATTCGGTACTGATACACAAAATATTCCTAGACCAGAAAATACCATGCGAGATCACAGCCAACTCTATAATGGCCTTGAAGCGCAAAAATCACGTGATCCAGATGGTCGATGTGTTTTTGTGGTAGTATGTGACTGCAAATCCAGAGGTCGTCAATTTTTTGGATATATATTATGCCAATAGTGTTATGTAAGTGGATTATTTTGCTATTCTAAGTGATTTTAAAAAACTTAAGCTTTATGCACTGATAAATAATAGTTTTATCTACATTTTGGTTTATATCATTTTAATTTTTAGATTTGTTTGGGAAAATCTGTAGCTCTTCTCAAGTCTAAACAAGTGTTTCATTTTAGCATCAAATACATTTACTCTAGTTTTAACATTTGAGTAGTATTAATTGGAATATTTATTTGGTACACTACATTAGGAATTCTTTATTTTGATTACATCTTTCTAATAACATATTTAAATACAGAATGCCTCAACACTGCAGTGTATTTAGTTGCAAATCCAATTACGACAAAAACGAGAATGTCACTACTTACTCTTTACCTAAATCACCTAAAAGGAGAGCTGAATGGTTAAGGAAAATTTCGCAAGATTTAAGTAAATTAAAAAACCCGTAATTTGTATAAAGCATTTTTATGAATCACTGATAATTATTAGCTTGAAGAAGCTTCGTTTTGAGAAGAAGATAATTTTATAATAGATAACTGATAATTATCAGCTTGAAGAAGCTTTCGTTCGTGAGAAGCTTCGTTTTAAATGCAATATTATAATTTCATCATCAAACTTGTCAAATAATGTTAAATAATTATACAAAATATAAAAATGACAAAATTAATATAAAATGTTCATATAAAAAAGTTAAAAATTTTACCAATTAATTTCAGTTAATAAGTCACAACTGTTTATTTTTATGTATGCTTCTGCATAAATTATGTAAGGTGTAGGATGCGTGTATATGGTACAGCTTCAAATTTTATGAATCTATTTTTGATAGTGGAATAAGCCTGTAATTTAGGGGCACCACTTAAAAAAAAAAAAAAAGGGGGGGGAGCCTAATCACTTACCTCTTAGGTGGTTTGGAAAAAGTGATACAACATGAAATTGGAGCTGGCACAAATAGAAGGATGTCCTTTTTTATGAATGTAATTAGCATTTAATTTCTCGAAATTTTCGTGAAAGATTTATTTATAGCATAACATGCATGTAAGTTTATAAACAAATTTTCTAGCATTCTAGAAATTTTTAATTCATTTCCGTGTTTTATTAGTGAATGAAGTGATGAGAGATGACTATGAATATTTGCCTTCTAAAAATTTATATAGCTGATGCAATGGTAGCGGCATGGATTTTTACAAAATAATCTGCCCTTAATATTTATTTTAGTATTAAGAAAATCTAAATAAAATTTACATCCATAAATCTATTGAATTTTTCCCATTTTGTGGATTTTATATTATTTTGGAAACATATTTGATTTAGATTACATAAATGGATTCCATTTTTATTAAAATTGCAGAAATAAAGTTAGTATATGGTGATTCTCAATGATATTTTTAGTTGCATAAACAAAGTATAATTGTTTAAAAAATTATTGAATACATGCATTTTACCACCTGTGGAAATATTACACTATGAAAAATTTAATGGAAATCATGTGACTCATCTTTATTAATTTTACTTATATTTATTTTAAGAGAAAACTACTATTTTTGACAAGTTAAACTTCACGATTATAGTGAAGAGAAAAAGATAGACTATTTTGATCACGTGACCTTCCAAAACTGATTTCGCTTCAAGGCCATGATAGAGTCGGCCATGGCCAGATACATTGGAATGAATTGCTACTGTCAGTAAGATGAATAACAAGCTCAGCACAGATTTCTCGGTCTCAACAGAATGATTCTAAACTGATTCAATTACTGTCTACAGAAAGTAGCTTATTAAAACTACAAAAGATGGAGTTTTCTTCTGCTTTAAATATATATATTGTGAAGTAAATACTGACAAGATCTGTCCTTTTGTTCCTAACCAATTGTGAAAGACAGTGTTTGATTCTCTCCATGGACTTCTTCACCCAGATATACTATCGACAAAAACTCATTCGTTTTGTGTGGCCTTCTGTGTCAAGAGACTGCTTGGACTCAAGCTTGCATCAACTGCCAGAAGTCCTTAGTCATATGGCATGATCAAAGTCCATTGCAGTCTTTTGTTGCACTCAGTCCATATTTTGAACATTGTGCATTTGGATATAGTCGGGCCCTTACTACATTCGGAAGGATACTCCTACCTTTTAACCCTCATCAACCGATTCTCCCAATGGCCAGAAGCAATACCAAAGAAGGACGTTTTGGCAGAAACTGTCACTGAAGCATTTTTTACCCAATGGATTGCTATAGTGTTCTTACTACAAGTACCAATCAAGGTCTACAATTTGAGTCGTACACATTGACTACACTTAACAAAATTCTTGATGTTTACCTAATTTGGACTTCTTCATACAACCCTTCAGCTAAAGAATTACTTTAGAGAGTCCATCATTCACTAAAACAAGTATTAATATCCCATGATAATGTCCAACGAACAATGAGCCTTCAACTGTATTCCTTGGTCTTTGAGCAACATATAAATAAGATTTAAGAGGAACTTGCTGCTAAGAAATGGTTTATAGAATGACTATTTGTCTCCCTAGAGAATTTTTGCAACCCACTCAAGTTTCCAGTTCTTTTGATGTATTTTCATTTTTACGGAATTCGTGCAAGACAAGAAGAGAGCACTAGCATCTACATCAACCCATGTTAACAATAGATATTAGAATCGTGCACTCGTGTATTTGCGAGACAAGATGCAGTAAAATCACCATCGACTGGCCTGTATGATGGATCATTTAAAGTAATAAAAAGAACTAATAAAAATTTGACCCTTCTTATTAAAAGAAATGAATTTGTGATCAGCAACAATCGCCTAAAACCAGCATTTTTAGTTTCAGATACTGTAAAATTGGTTCCTGTTCTCGAGCAGACTCCTACAGTAAAACCAAATGACACTATACCTCCAGTGCAGACTACTTATTCTGGCAGAAGAGTCAAGTTTAACCCCAGGTATCTCTGACGACCACTGCATGTGAGGGGGAGTACTGTGACGAAATATTTGCATTCCAACAAGAATATTTGTATTTTAATATTTGCATGCACTATCCATGACTGCTATGCTGTAGCTGGACTCGCTCGTTATAGTGCGAGTATGAAGACTTAAATTTTTTTTTTGAGAGACTTACTTGTACTTCATTGTTCCTGCTTGTTCATGGTTGACATTCGACATCAGCTTACCATGCATTTATTTCTTATTTTACATTTTAATTTTATGGTTTATTAAAGTCTTCACTTTTCTTTTTAAAGAACCTTAGGACAAGTTTGGAATATTGTGTCGTTAAACCAATGCCAAATGGTCCTCTGCCGCTGTCATTTACCTTTTCACTGACAAAGTTGCTATGAATTAACAATACCTACTGAGGAGATTTGCAATAAAGTAAGTAAAAGTATGTAAAGAAAAACACCCTCTCAATAGCTAATATTGCGAAGACCAATATGTATACCATCATCAAACTGTAAATCACAATAAGAACTTTGTCAATCTTTGCAGACATTTTTTAAAACTTAATTGATGAAGCTTAAGATTCCACATAGCATGTAAAGTATTACACCACAAATGCCCCCACATCTCGCAGAAATCCATTTTTAACCACTTGTGCTACGACTAAACTTCACGGTTGCGGTGCTCTGCGCTACAATATAACAAGCGGTAAAGTGTCTCATTTACGCCGCTCTGCGTCTGCAATCCAGAGCTATAACTCGAGAAATAAACAATCTCGGTGTTAGGAGCGTGTCCACCACGTTATTTTCATTTTTGCGATAAATGCCTATCGAAGTGGTGTTCACGTCGCTAGCGGTTTGAGACAAAAACATCTAGATGTGCTTGGCACGTCTTTTTAGCGCAAGTGGTTAAAAGTGTTAATTTTGTAACATGATATGCGGCACTCACAGTATACAAGGCTGTATGACTTATAAAAACGGACTTTAAGGGTCATTCCTAATTTTATTTTCTAAAATTAGAAGGAATTTAATGGAATTAAAAATTTAATGGGCTATTAAAATAACAGGATCATTTATGCATTCACAAAATATCATTTAAAAGGCACAAATACTCATTTATGGTATTTATATCAAGGATTTTTTATATGAAATTAAACTAAACAAGAGAAATTTTATTAGATAACAAGCACTCTCAGATCTAAACATACAATTTAGTTAACCCTTTGGGTACATTTGACAACTTGTCATGCACTTGTTTTCCTTAAGTTATGGATAATAAATCTTAATATTCAGTTAAATTAGGACAAAATTAAACATGAACATTTTTGTTCATGGCAAAAGCGATTGATATCAGTTATAAGAGCAAGTTTCTTCCAGTACTTCAGTGAATGTTGTTTCTGAAAAGTCAACAGAATTTTTTCAAATAAATCCGTACCCTAAGGATTAATTCAGCAAAGTATATAATGCTTATTTAACTAAGGAAAAGACACTCTTTATAATTTACTCTTACATTACATATGGGAAAATGACATGAGGACCATTCATTCATCCACCAGGAACCATATCCATCACATACTAACAGTATAATGTAGCTTTATACACTCTGCTAGTTGTATAACTGATATTTAAATTACAAACTTTTGATTTACAGTTCACAGTTTTACTGCATCTGACAGATCTTCTGATGCACTGAATATTCCATTACGGCATTTTCATTCATATTAGAAATTAGGATACTACATTATTATCTCGATGGCCACTAAAAAAATTTGGCTAATCTTTGGAATATGGTAACAGGTAGTTTGGAGACACTTTGGTAAGGCGATAAAGGTTACTAGCTAGGACTTTTGCAATAATCTGAGAAGTACACAGTTCCAGTCAACCATTATTTAATGTTTGCCTTCTAAATTCACAGGTGACTTTTATAATAGGATAATTTAGAGGGAAAAGAAAATTAATGTAATTTCTTGCATATTTTATTTATTTTATACGTGCAAATGTTCATCCTTGCAAAGGATATATGCAAGCTGAAGATATAAGCGATCAAGCTTTTTAGCGATCAGGTAATTTCATACATGTCCTTTTTACTGACTTCAAAGATTCACAAAATTTTCCTGCAAATTTTTCTATTTTATGAGAAAATTATTTACATGTTTCATATATAAATTTGCTCTGTAAAAACAAATTTCTGTGCACGTTTGTTCCACTACTTTCCGGAAACTTCCGATAGCGATTTTAGCTAATAAGCACTTAGAAGCAATTTTGCACTTAATCTTCGTCATGATTAAGCACTTTTGTTCCATAAAAGTTCTAGCATAAGCATAATTCGGCTAGCAGATTGATGAAAAAAATTTGAGTAAAAACAAAAAGGCGTCAAAAAAAAAAAAAAAAAAAAAAAAAAAATAGCAGGTTGCTGTAGCAGGGTTGGTCGCCAAAAAAAATCGCCGAGTTACCATAATCCGAAGATTCACCAAAAATTTTCACAACAGTCATCAGTCATCACTGCAGAATTCTAGACATGGTTATCCATAATTGGCAATAAACTCCATTATTTAGTCTGTCTATGATATATATACTATGTAAATACCAAAATGAATATTTCAGGTTATAATGACATAACTGCCAAACTTGAAAAATGAGGCTTTTGCAGCAAGTTTTTAGATTGCATACTGACATTTGAAATAAATTAAAATTTAATTTATAATGCATTATTTGGATTATTAAATGTTTTATAAAAATATTCTCATGTAAAATATATTGATACTTAATTAGATACTCTAAACTGTACATTATTCGGTAAATTTCATTTTGTCATTTTCTCACACTTTTATACAGAGAAAATCCTAAGGAGGAAAGGAAAGCTTTAGCTTCTAAAAGTATCTTTAAGCACAATGAAAATAAAATTAATAATCAATGTGCAAGTCTTCCCAAATCTTTACATAAAGTTCTACAAATATCAAGAACCGTTAAGCATCTGCGAGAGAAAAACGAAACATAGGTCAAGACATAATGATAATACCATCTGTGAACCACACCCCTTATCTGCGAGTGTGTGTTAACAAATTTCATTATGTATTTATAATTAAAAAACTCGCTAACATGTGTCGCAGGTGCGAAACAGAAAAGTACAGACTATTCATATAAGGAGAAAAAAAAAAAAAAAAAATTAATACCAACAATTATGTTGAAAAGAACTAGTGATAAATTTGCACACTTTTTTTGGGGGGGGGGGACAAGTTTTGCTGTTTCTTAATGTTGAAAAGTCTTTCCTTGGTACAAACTAAACATTTGAAACCGAGAAATTTGGCGATTATCAGAATAGACTAATCAATTAAGGAAAAGAAATTCAAGGATTATCTGCCTATGGGGAGGAATGCCCTCATGAAGGACTTTTTATGAAGTGTCTACGTTACACACCGGGAAAACCACGGAAATGCCTATGCAATCAGCCCATTTGCAGTGATTTGAATTTGGGTCGCACTACCAATATTAAGAGAATTTAACGCTTGGCCGCTGGTGACCTATCGAGAGACCAAAGGTAATGATAAACCGGGAGTCGCCTAATAAAATACTGAATCGCCAGCTACGCAATACATAGCAATGAATTTTTATATTAATAATTATGTAATTCCCGAATATTTTATCCTTACATCAAATAACAATGACATGAAGCAAAAAGATGAAATTAATAAGCAATAAATATAGATTATAATGCTATCACGTATAATAAAAATGACGTGATAACGTAAACTTAAAAGGTCTGACTGGCAATGTTAGAAATGACCCACCCATCACATATTTATACGAACTAGTACCTAAAAAACGTACCATGCTTTCACTCGAATAAGGACTTCTCCTTCAGCAGCAGTAGGCTCAGGTTTGGTCTGAATTTTAATAGCTTTTAAGCCACCAAAACTTGACAGTAATACACATTTCATTTCTTTCACCGGTGCGGATTCTTCAGCTACTTCAATACCATCTTGGTCATTTTCTGCTTTAGCCTTGGAATCAGTATCATTTTTGGTATCTTCTTTAACTTCATTACTAACATTCTTCTCTTCCTCCATTTTACCAGTAAAATTCTAATCTTTCGAAAAATCTGACTAATTAAACTTGCCCCACCCTACAACTAATACACAGAATATGTGACAGGAGATGCAGACACAGCGCTTATGAACGGATGATTCGCTAAATTCGGTTATGTCTCTTATTAGCATATCGATTAAATTAAATTCCAAAGCTCGACCTTTATTTACTTAATAAAGAAATCAAAATATACTAAGAAAAATCAAAATATATTTGTGACTATTTAGACAGTGTTAAACAAATCAGTGAATGATATGATAAATGCACATTTAAATTAAATATTTTTATCGTTTATCAAATGAATCGTTTTGAGAACAAAAGTGGCAACACTATGATGCCGCAATAATTTAACAAGAAACAGCAGTACTTTTTAAACGTGAGAAACTTTTGTAAGTGAATCTGTTTATTATCTAAGTCAGTTATTAAGTTATTTATCTTCCAAATATTTAATTATGTACTTTGTCTTTAATAGAGAATATGAGGTATTTCCAATAAAATATATGCTGTTGTAGCTTGGTTGAATTTTGCATCAAAGTATAATTGATTTTAAGTTCTTTATTCTTTTTCTTATTTTCTACCATATTACGAATATTGATACAGAGTCCTTGTTAAAGCATGTATCAGTGCAATAGTACAACATTTATTTTAAATGAAATTTCAGCCTATTTAGTCTTTGTTTTAAAGAATTAGTTCATTGAGCAATTATTTCATTATATGTTTGGGTAAGTTGAAATCTTATTTAGAGATTTTTTTTTTTAATGATTTGTAAAATTTCAGGGCCAAATTCCTCTTTATTGCCAATTTTATTACGTTTGTTGGGCAATTGATGCTTAATGAATTCATTGAATTTTGCATCATGTAAAGGCTGATATAAATGATACCAGGAAAAGTAAGTTCCATTATCCTTGCAGCTCCTATCACATACTTAGTATAGCCCACCAGCGGCCGAGCAGTAAAATCGCTGAACACTGGTAGTTTTATCCGAGGTTCGAATCCCGCGAACGGCTGGCTGCATGAGCGTTTGGCTCTAGTGTATGTTTTCGTGGTTTTCCCCATGTGTTACATGTATACGAACCAGTTTCCCTTAGAAAGTCCTCCAAAAAGGCATCCACCCCCTTAGGCAGATAGCCTTGGTGTGCTTTGCCGTATTCTCAATACACACCATATACTTAGTATAGCGGAAAGTAAGGTATAAAAAATACTCGTTTTATAAAACCAGATGTCTTGGGCAAAACATATTACACATCCATTATCCTTTGTAATTTTTCAGTATAATAGATATCGGATGCAAATCATATTTCATGAAATAAATTTATGAATTTTTTCATTCAAAATTTTTTGAACAAAAATGTAGATTTAATCTTTTTATCTATTTTGTTTCATGAGTTTGTATTTAATATGTGTTGCATAAATACAAGCTTATATATTTTAATCTAGAATCTTATTTCTGCCAAGAAAAACTAAAGAGAGGAATGGAATCTTAAAGAATTATTATAGATTTACTTTAGTTAACTTATGAGAATGGAACCAAATTAATATAATTGTTTTCCAGTTCAATAAATATATGAACAGAATAATCAAATATATAAAGTATTCAGCTTCTTTTGCTTGTGGAAAAAATAACTTCTTCTTTTAAGCTCTGTTTCTAGTTTAATGTTTTTAAAAAATGCATAAAATTTTATGTAGTTTAATATTATAGAAGGCTTTGGAGGCCGTGTCACAGGTCTTGTAGAAATCAGGCCATAAGTAACCCGTTTTTCCTGTAAAGCAAAATTTTGGTTCTATCAAATACATAGTATTAGAGAGCAGATATTGATATGAATAACATACTGTAGAACTTTGGTTAGCCCAAGCGGCTTGGATTGCAACATGTTTAAAATAATCGAAAACTCTGTTAATAAAAACTAGCTTTTAAATCGTGCCAATTTTTCTTCCAAGTAGATTTTGTAAAATTATTTGAAATTCTAAAAGTAAGTGTATAGGAACTACAACCAACATTTTAAAAAATCTTAATGAATAAAAGTTTATTAATTAAATGAAATTTATTTTCTTCAGTTAAACAATTCATACAAGATTTTATTTCCTAATAAAAACATTTATGACAGTATGCATGGTAAATAAAATTATTTGTATTTGTCTTGTATTTATTTGTACTAAAATCACGGGGATCAGTTTTAAATGTAGAAACTCGGGTCTTTTTGTAATCTCCATCTCTCTGTATATATGTGTAATTAAAAATATTATGTACTTATTGCTGTGACTATAGATGAAACATGGTTATTTCTTCTAGAAACATATTTGATATGGATGTGGATGGCTCTGGATTCACTGATTTATTGCAACAAGCTCAGCAGCTGACTGCTGATATTGATGGAGAAGGAGAGTTGCTAAGAGTTGAAAGAAACTTGCGGCAGATAGTGGATGCTGGCCAGCAGTTGTGGTCACGCACAACACAAGCTGCAAGTAAAGATGCATGCGATATAAAAGCGTAAGAGCACGCGCTTGTCTTTAAGTATTTGTATATTTCATTAATTTACATTATATAGAGAGTTATTTGAAGATCTTGATTTAGCAAGTGAAATTAATAAAACATAAAAAAGTTAGAAAAATTAGTTAGCAATATTTTTTACACCAAGGAATAAATTTTTGTTTACTGCAGCTAAAATTTATTACTCTGTAATTTTCCTCACAGCTTCGTCTCCGCTGAACATAGAGGAACCTATCGAACTGTGTTGCGACCTATTACTGAGTTCAAATATTTAATGACAAAGACAAGAGAAGGGTTAGAGTACACTTTTATTCACTTAAATAATCCCAGATGTCTTCTTCTCGGGCTTAACAGGGAAGCCTCCACTCTCGCTTTTAAATCAAGATTAAGAAACTAATATAATACTAAACTAAACTGAGCTGAAGCTAGACACAGTTACTTAATGTAGTTGGCCCTTAATTAAATTAGCCGTCAATTGTCAACAGGCATGTACACTGTTAAAAAAAAGGGGATGGTGCTATATCTCCCGTTCTACTGGGCCGATTGACAAAATTCAAACTGCGTTTCTGTCTGAATGCGACTTAGGAATAGTTAATTTACGTAATTCGGAAGAAACGCCGGGTTACGGTTTAAAATTAAATTTTAGCGGGTGCGGTTAGGTACACGTAAAGTGATGTATTGTACATGTGGATGCCTTGTCATTGGCATAGACGGCTGTTGGACACAAAAAAGGGGTTCGTACGGTCCTTAAAAGTCCTTAAAAGTTTAATTTTGGCCAAAAGGAATAAACGATCCTTAATTTTGCTCATTTGACATTTCTTATTATTTCTAATGATTGCCATTCTAAGTGTGAATTACGATTTCTCATGAATATGGAATTAAAATTACACAGCTCTTAACTAATCTGTTGGCGGATTTGCATTGCAAACGATTAAAAAAAAAACAATTAGCTACCCGAACGAAAGTATCGGTGTCTCTGATTGGCTATTCACGCAATCTTTCGAAACAGGTGTTATCCATAAATTTAGGCAGACTGTGACGAAAGCGTGAAGCTGGAAGTTCTTTAAGAGGCGAAAGTGATGATGAAGGTGCTCGAGAAAAAAAAAAAAGGGAGGGGGGAGATTCTGAAAATATTTGCCAAAACTAGAGCAATTCCAACCTGGAAGGCCACAACCCTTCCGACGCCAATAGGAACGAGATGCCTGGAAAGTGCATTTTCAATAAACTGTGGCTTCATCAAGCTGACTACAAAGACTGGATATTGATGGATGGCAATCCTTAAATGTGGTCTTTGTCTGAAACAAATTGAAATTTCTAGAATGGGAGAGTCAGCACTGAAAATTCACATTAAAATTAAGTTTCGTTTTATCATTTCAATTTGTTTTTACACGGTTTTGCTTAGCTTAATTTCTGTGTTTGTTTCAATTAAGCCATAAATTAATTTTTTATCACCTTCTACGGAGTTTATTCTCTTTTGCACATACTATATGTATGGGATATCGGGATTATGAGTTTATTTCTGCAGAGGGTCTGTTATCGATTTCGCGGGAAATCTGTTGGCTCCATTTCGATTTTAGGTCGCCAAGGGCAAAATCGGTAACGCTAGCTGAGAAAAAGTGAAGTTCGGAAATACGTTTTGAAGCTTCAATAGACAATTAAGTATTTGGTTTAAACCTATGTTTTTGATAGTAATGCATAATTTTTGCTAATGGCGATACAATTATTAGTTGAAAATAACTAATTAAAATTTTTTTTAAATATTTTTAAAGCTGAAAACAACTAATTGAAACTAATTTTCCTGAATTAACTAGACGCAAAATTAACTTTCATGAATTACTAAAGTTATTGGGTAGAAGTTTAACTGAAAATATACATTCCGTATTATATATATATATATATATATATATATATATATATATAATGTTGTATGATCTTAAATCCATTTAGTATATATTATATATATTTATACAGTACAAAGTCCGAGGTCTGGACTCGTCGGGACTTCGGCGATCCTAGATTTGAGATTTTTCCGGATATTAGATCATTTTAAATCTACTAAGATGGCACGTAGAAATTATAAAATTGAAAATATGAAATCGTGATTTATGAAATAATGAAGCATTTATGATTTAAAGGGTATCAAAATTTACCAAAGAAAAGAGCTTAATATTTATATGTTTACTTTAATAAACATTTCTTTCAATGTGAGTTGTTTGATTTGTTTTCTCTGCTAATACTTTAGACTAATACTATAGACATATAATTTCTTGTTCAGTTATTAAGTTCCATTGTTCAAGTCCTGTAATTGCTGTGTCGAGAATTCCGAATAACTTGTCAATCAAAATTTTTTCTCGTTCAGTAACCTCTCTGTTACTTTCTTCACTATCGGTAGCTGTATTTTCTGGATTTAGAACCATACTACAGATTCCGCCCTCCGTTAATTGATTGATGATTGGGCATTGTCATTGCAATGAAAAACTTCTGTTTAACTTCGCTAAATTCTGCCGCCTGGTGCGGCCATGCGAGCTCTGGAGCTGGTTCTGGCTTTATGTGAATAACAAATCAGTTATTCTTAATTCAAATAGCACTAAATATAATCGTTTGTCCTATGAGTATCATTAACAAAATCTATTTTTAGCATAAGGAAAGAAATTTCTGCTGCTAAATCTCCCCTTGTCAACATTTTAGCGCATTAAATTTAAATCTGTAATCGTATAATACTCTGTTATTTGGCATCGCTGCATGATTCATCACTCAAGTTGTCATTCGTTGATAAACATGCGGTGATGAAAGCAAAATACAATAAATAATGATTCGCGATTTCGGCATCAAGGATATAAAATATTAGTTGGTGTAAAATTAACAAATGTTTCGGTTTGAGATTATGCCAAGCAGATACGCAGCTATGGAGTCAAGTTACTAATCACACAAATTTATGCTAAAATAATTATTTCTTCAATAATGAGATATTTTATTTAGCACCAAACTAAGATTAAGAATCGGATTTCTGGCATTTTTTTTATGATGAGGGAAAAAATCTAATGCGCAATTGGTTGGTGGTGGCTTTGAGGTCCAGATTTTAGATCATTCCAGATATTAGATGTCCGGATCTCGGACTTTATATATATATATATATATATATACATCTTTCAGAATATAACTTACCAGTATGGATTCACTCTTTTAAAATAATTCTACTTTAATTAAACTTAGGAGATAATATAATCAATTAATCTATATTGTTTAGGAAATAAATTATATATATAGTAAAAAATGTATATTTTCACTATTCAAGTATTCACTGTGACAAGTATTCTTATCTTGTCACATGAACAGGCCTCTGTGGAAAGGGGCTTCTCTGTAAATAAAGCAATTGAATTTGAAAATTTAAGTGACTCATCATACATTTTTCAACGCACAGTATTTGATTACATAAAATTTTCTGGAGGTGTTCTTAATATCGAAATTAATAAAGAAATGAGATCAGCAGCAGCTTCTGCAAGAAGTGGAGTTCGTTATTTAGAAGTTCAGTATTTAGAAGAACAAAAATCTTTAACTAAATCTGAAAATTCAAAGAGGAAAAGAAAATATATTGAAGAAGAAATTGATTATATGAAGCAGAAGAAAAACTTTCCTCAAAGGGACATTAAAGACATTAATGAAGAAGTAGATGCTTTAGCAGATAAAGCTGAGACCATCAGGAACATTGATTTGTTTATCAAAGCAAATGAACTTAGAAGAATAGTTAAAGAATAGTTAAAGAAAAGGAAGATTTCAGATTTAAAAAAAGCACAAATGTTTTGTATCTTTTATTGTACAGTTTATTATTCTAGTATCTTTCAAAAAACCAAGGAAATAAATTGTATGTTTACAAATCAGTTATTTTAATCTGCAAAATATTCTTACATTGTGATTATAATAGTAGTTGACTATGTTTAAATAAATATCAAATAAGTTAAATAATAATCATGTAAATCTCTAAAATAGTGACTGTTATTAGTGTAAAATACACTTATACATGTTTTTCAAGAAATTATGTTCCTCATTTAATGTTATCTACTTCATAACTTGTAGGGAGTTAGTTTAATTTTCAAAATTGTTTTATGGTAAGTATTAAGTTGAATTTAATAATAGTGCATAATACACACACTTCTGTTAGTTTTTTAAAGTGAAATTACAAGCATGAAGTCGGTTGTATGGATAATTGCTTTATTCTATTCATTTTTTTGTTTGCCTGATAGGTCCTTAATTTTTTCTTTGATGGTCCTTAAAAGTCCTTAATTTTCATATAAGGAAATGTGTACGACCCTCCACTCATCGCTTTTGGACGTTATTTTGTTACATTCTCTTTGAACGACCTAGCCTTTTCACCCTACGGATCTCAGAACAATAACATTTTCCCCTTTCAAATCAACATTCTCATTGAATAGTCTCTCCTCTGCCTTCCATGAATCCAGCATCCTCCCCCCCTGCCTTTTCTGCTGGAGGTAGGAAGTAAGAAGGAGTCGCCCTAAACAGTTTCTCCGTACCCTGCTCTGAAGCACCGGCGATCCCTACGTGGTGACCAAAACATTGGGTCATTTACCATTGAGTTCTATGGGATTTGACGCGTTCGGGTGTAAATATTTTGTAATTACGTCGCAAATATACATATAAATGTATATATTTTCTTTTTCTACAACACTTCAGAGTCCTAAGTATGTGAAAACAACATATTTTTAAACAACATTTCATTCTGAACGGAATTAAATGCTATACTTTTCACAGGACAGTTTTCTCAGAATGGTTTAATTTGAATGAAATTTTTTCACAAGTTTTCGTTAATTACATTAGAAAAAAAAATTAAGGTAATTCGATTTTATTCGGTTAAGGTACAAAAATTAAGATCAAAGTTTATTGTATTATTAATATTAAAATTATGCATTATTTCTTTTCTATTTATAGAGCTTCTTCCTAAAATACTTTCTTAAATATGACATGATTTTTGGCCTTCTTTTAAA